AGGTCCCTTTTCTCAGACCCGGTCACATATATGAGACATTCGATTTCAAAACGACCCCCTTCGAAAACAATTGCCAATGTAAGACAATTTTTAAATGAATGCTAGAAACAATTCACGCGCTAAAGCGCGCGGCTAACTTCTAACTGGCTTTTTAAAATAAAATTAGCAAATTTTAAAAATAATAGAATTTAAAATTTTTCTAATTTAAATTTTTGTTAAAAACACTTTAAAAAATGCAATTTTGGAGAAATTACAAACATTTTCAGAAATTCAATTATTTTCAAAGAAAAAAACTAAAATTCATTTATGTTTAAAATTTGAAAAAAATTATAATTATCTTTATAAATAACAAAATTCTTGTCCAAAGTTCAATTATTTTCATAAATGTCAAAAAAAAATTCTTGTCCTAATTTCAATTATTTTCAAAAAATTTTCTAATTTCAATTATTTTCAATATCTACTATTCTAATAAATTTTTCCAAAAAGAATTCAATTACATATTAAAAAAAAAATTTTAATAAAATTTTATGCAAACATTTAATTATTTTCATAAATAATAAATATTTCACAGGATGTCAATTATTTTTATAAATAATAAATTTTTTTTAAGGAATTCAATTATTTTCATAAAAAATAATTTAAAATTCTAGAAAATAATAATTGAATTAAAATGATAAAAATAATTTTGATGAAGTTACAATAAAAATATTTTTATAATATAAAATCATGATTTTATTACTTGGTCATTAGGTTAGGCCGAAAAAATTTTTTTTCTTTTTTTTTAAAGGTCTCGGGCTTTAAAAGCTTCTATTTAATGCTAAAAAATCATAGAAAAAATCCCGGATAGAAAAATTTAAATTTTTCGTAACTACTATTTTTAGTATTCTAAAAAAATAGTAAATATGTTATTAAGCTATAGAAAATGGCGCAAACGTTCGAACTAAACATTATGACTAAATTTAAAAAATTATTAGGGGGAAAAATTATATTTTTCTTTTTAAATTTCTTCGATATTTGTGTAAATGATATTTGTATGAAGTAATTTATCATATATATTGCTAAGGAATACTCAATTCGATAAGAAATGTTTATTTAAAAAAGAGTGATTTTTAATAATATTTTTTATTTTTCCACCTTCATGAAAAATTTAAATTATTTTAGCAGGGATTTTTTCTACGCTCTTTTAGCACCAAATAGAAGCCTTTAAGGCCTGAGGTCTTTAAAAAAATAGAAAAAAAATTTTTACGGCCCACCCTATTGGTCATCTTTAATTTATTAGAAAACATGAAGAAATCGATCACTCCGAGTTTTATAAAAATACTTTTAGAAGTTGTTTAATTTAAAAAAGGTTTTTTGAAATTTTTGAATGTCTTAATTCCTGTGGAAAATCCTGTTCCAAAAATAAGATTAAAAATAGAAATTGTGCAAATAATTTTCTTCTTTTTCTAAAACAAAATAATAATTTTGTTAAAAAAATTGTGATTCATAAACAAAAATAATGCAAAATAAATAAATTTTCTATTTCTAAATCACAATTCACGTCAGAAATATCACGATTTGCCAAGGGTATGCCGATTTGCGCAAAACTTTGTGGGATTATAGTTCTATATAAGAAACTTCTTTCCCCCAAACTTTTTCAAAAAAATTCAAAATTGTTAAAGATACGCCATTTTGAATTTTAATATTAATTTTATAAAATTTTGAATATATCGGAATATTGTTTATGGATTTTTATGAAATTTACACATTTTTCAGGTAAAAGTATGTACTTTAAAATGCAAATAAAGTTATTAAAAAAAATTAATTTTTAAATAAAAAAATTTTAAAAACATTTTTTAAACAATTTTTTGTTTATTTACTCCTTTTTGAGAAAAATGGTATTAATATATTTGGATTCCTTATGATTCACCTTTATTTTTTTCATAAAAAAAATTGATGGAGACTCAACTGGGTCCGGAGATATTGAAGTTTTTGTAAAAAAAGCGTCGCCTCGCTATAGCACCATACTGCAGAAGTCGCGTAGTACGTTACCATAGTCGTGCATTGCTGCTACAACTAGGCTTATTTTTTACAAAAACTTCAATATCTCCGAACCCAGTTGAGTCTCCATCAATTTTTTTTATGAAATTAAAGGTGAATTCATAAGGAATCCAAATATATTAATAACATTTTTCTCACAGAGGAGTAAATAAACAAAAAAAATTTTTTATTTAAAATTTAATTTTTTTTAATAACTTTATTTGCATTTTAAAGTACATACTTTTACCTGAAAAATGTGTAAATTTCACAAAAATCCATAAACAATATTCCGAGTTATTCAAAATTTTATAAAATTAATATTAAAATTCAAAATGGCGTATCTTCAACAATTTTGAATTTTTTTAAAAAAAATTTTGGGAAAGAAGTCTCTTATATAGAACTATAATCCCACAAAGTTTTGCGCAAATCGGCATACCCTTTGCAAATCGTGATATTTCTGACGTGAAATGCCTCAGTTGTTTAATAATTTTGTTATAAATATTAATAAATAATCTTCCAAACTAAGGAAACTCAGGAACGCGTTCGGATTGATAGAAAATTACGTGAAATATTCTGAAGAGTTAGTTTATTTAATAAGTAATTATTGAAACTGAAAATTAGGTATAAAGAATTACACAAAGTGATACACCACACAGGCCCGTATTCTCGCGTTGCCGCTTCTTATATATATTTCGAATATTTCGCCACAAAGGCCGTACGTCCGCTCGTGACAATTTCTAATGAGAACTGAACTGCTACCAAGACCGGAACTTCCGTACACACATGCACACATTAGAGGGCAGCACTATATTTCCGTTAACAATCGGTCATCCTGACCTAGCTTGGCCCTCCAAGCTGAACATTCGTCGACGTTTGACAATTTTCACGTTATTTCATAACATACAACTTTCCTTCACGTACATCTTGTTACTCTTCGCTAAAATATCTATAACGAACAGGTTTTACTCGAATTCGACTTCCTCGTCTAACATTTTCGTTTCTCACATCATTCGGAACATTTTCGTCTCGAACTACATTTTCTGTTACTGTCGGATTCACACTATCATTCATCGTTACATTTTCAGGCAAAATTGTGTTAACAGTTGGCGACTGATCGTCGGCATCGTCTTCGTTACTACTCACATCATGACCTCGCCAAATTTTCAACTGTGAAACATGAGCAGTAGAACTTTTGTTTATTTTATCATTAGAGGCTAAATTCTGAACGCGATAAGTGTCCGATGGCAATATCTCGGTGATTACCATAGGGCCTTTATTTCGAAATTGTAATTTTCGTGATTCTCCAGTCGACAATTTTGTAGTTTTAACAACGACGATATCACCCACTTCGTATTTCACATTCTTCAATCGTGACCGATCGTACCTTTCTTTCGCTGCATTTTGTTCACGTAGAACTTTATCATATATCGAATCTCTAATCTCTTGCGGTAATTTATAGGTTTCACCTCCTAATGTTAATTCTCGTGATAACCCTTCCTCAAATCGCGGAATGTACCCGAAAAGCATCTCAAAAGGGATACGTCCGGTCGTTTTACAAATCGCGGTATTCAAATTTCGATCCAATTGACTAACATTCTCATCCCAACGTCGACCATCGCAATCTTTTAAATTAGATTGTAACGCAGGCAGAATTGTTTGATTTAACCGTTCTATCTGCCCGTTCGCTTGAGCATATCTACTAGAATTTAAGGTTAATCGAATCCCGTGTTTATTACATAGTTCTTTGAATATATCGGCTGTAAAGCAGGTTCCTCTATCGGTTATAAATCGTTCAGGAGCTCCAAACCTCATAATAAAATCGGTAACCTTTCGAACTGTTGTAATCGCTTTGGTATTTTTAACGACGTACAATTGAGCGAATTTTGTCAAATTACAGATAGCTGCCAGAATATGACTATTACCTCGCGTTGACGTAACAAACGGTCCCAAATGGTCCAGATGAACTATCGCAAAAGGTCTTTGACCAGGCGGAATCGGATGGAGTTCACCAGGTTGCCTGCCAGCCTTGTGTTTGGCGAACAGACACTCAACACACGCACCAATGTGATTGCGAACATATTTTCGCATTTCCGGAAAATAGTAATATTCATTTATTCGAGCAACGGTACGATCTATGCCAAAATGGCTCGACAAATCATGACTCTTTAAAACGATAGCCTTACGCATCGAACGAGGAACGACGTACAATTCTTTCGACTTATCGGGTAAACTCAATTTGTACAAAATTCCATTTCAAAGTACATAATCTTTGATCTCTCCTTCCTCTCTTCGCGTACGTTCCGTTTTGCTTTTTTCGAGAATTTTAATTTTCCTAGCTAACAAATCATCGTTTTGCTGGTACATTAATATTTCTTCCTCCATAATCATCGTATTTAACACCGTGGCAGTATTCAAATCTTCACAAGCATCTTCAACCGGACCGCGCGATAAAGCATCGACGTGACGCATTTTATCCCCAGGTCTGTGACGAATTTCAAAATTGAACTCGGCTAATGAATTTAACCATCGGACTACTTGTGGATTTTTTGTTTTTAATTTATTTATGTGAATCAACGCTTGACAATCTGTCACTACACAAAACGGTATACCGATCAAAAATTTTTCCAATCTTTCCATGGCCCAAACGATTGCCATTAATTCTAATTTCGTGGAATGATAGTCTTTCTCTACGTCAGACGTGCGACGACTAATTGCGTAAACTAAATGGAGCTGTCCATCATCGGATTCCTGTAATAAAATTGCTCCTAACCCATTCTTACAGGCATCCGTATGAAGCTCTGTTCTTGGTGATTGAGGATTGTAATAAGCTAATACTGGTCTGTTTGACATCTTTTCTTTCGCTTCGGAAAATGCGCGTTGTTGATTTTCGCCCCACGTAAACGAAACATCTTTCTTAAATAAAACAATGAGTGGCGATATTAATTTCGCGAACCCTGGAATGAACCTACGAAAGAAACTCGTTAGACCCACGAATGCTCGAACTTCATGGATATTTTTTGGAGTAGGAAATTCCAAAATCGCACGGATTTTCCTTTCTCCAGGTTCATTCCCCCCTTTCCAATCGTAAATCCCAAATATTCGACGGCTTCGAGGCCAAACCTACATTTTTTTAAATTAAGAGTCAATCCGGCATTTTTCAAAAGAATCAGAATTTTTTCGATTTTAATCAGTAGTTCTTCAAATGACTTGGCATGCACGAGGATATCATCGAAATAGGTTATAGCCAAATCATTACCGTATGGACCGAAAATAATTTTCATTAGTTTCGCAAAGTAGAAGGGGGCGTTCATCAACCCAAAAATCGCTCGTTCAAATTGTCCAGTTTCATCTTGGGTGATGAAGGCCGTCTTCTCCTTTGCCTCTTCCGTCAAGGGCATTTGTAAATAGCCCAATGCAAAATCGAGTATCGCGAAAATTGTCGCTCCGTGTAATTTTTCTAATCCATCGTCAATGTTCGGAAGCGGAAAATTCATTCGCACTGTTATACTGTTTAGTTTACGGTAATCGATTACTAAACGGTACGTTCCATCCGGTTTCATAATTAACACACACGGGCTTGCATACGCAGCACTTGTCTCTTTAGCAATTTTATTTTCTTTCCATTCGCGAACTTTACCTTTAATTATTTCTCGTTTATCATTATTTGTCGGGTACGGTTTAGAATAAAGCGGTTCACTTCCGGGTTTTAAACGAATGTCCATTTTTAGTAAATGAGTGCAACCTAATTCTGTCATATCCATAGCAAAACACGTTCTGTATTTATTTAATAAGGTCAATAACTCTATCTTTCGGTCTGAATCTAATGTTGATTGATTAGTTAAATCTTCCTCAACAATTGGAATATATCGCGGTTTTAATTCGGGAACCTCATTAAAGGACACTATATCTGTTTGAAGAACACTCCCCTTCTCAATCATCACATCGTGTGAACTATGATTCGTTATCGGTAAGGAAAGTTCTTGATCATTACAATTTACTCGGATGAAACTGACAGTTGCCCTTGGTAAACGCATGTTTTCTAGAACTGTCGCAGTCGTATTCTGTTTAAGTTCGCCCCCAATTTCCGAAAAATTTTGAAACGGGAATTCTTCTCGCGAAATAAAAACAAAATTTCCATCTATTCGATAGTAAGCAAATTGAGGTAAATCCGTAAAATTTCGACCAATTATCAAATCATATTGTTGCACTTTATCGTTAACTACACGTAAACGCACATTTACGGCTCTACATCCATCGACTGTCAAATCTTCTATCACATATCCTTCGGATATTGTACCCCCAACACCGAATCCTTCTATCTCATTTTGATGTTTAATAAATTTAAAACCTGATTTTTCGACAACCGATTCTCGAATCAAGCATTCGGAACTCCCTGGATCAATTAACGCAATCATTTCGGATTTATTTACAAGGACACACTTTTCATACTTTTTAATCGAATTATTTGAATAATTATTTTCAATTATATTTACATTTACTGATGACATAGGTTTTGGTTTCGTACAATTTTTAGATATATGGCCAACTTCGCCACACTGGTAACATTTCACTTCACGAGGGACAGAACAATTTTTCGCAAAATGTCCTGATTTATTACACCTGTAACACACTCGATTACCATTCACTGTTTCACCACTGATATTCCTGGAAGTAGACGAACTAGGATGAAAACCACTCTTATCCTCGCTCTGCTGATCACTCTCTCGCTGATAACCTGGTCGATTCTCACCTTTTACTCCAGGTACAAAATTATTACTACGTTGATTTCTTGAAATATCTCGGCTCATGTTGATTCGAAGTTTTCTGGCGGCCTCCAGATTCTCCAGTTCGGTGATGCTCCTAAGCAACTCGTCCACGTCAATGTGATTACGGGATATGATTGCAGTACTAATTTCCTTCGACCACAACCCTACTGCAATTTGTGTTTTAGTCTCATCTAATTTCATGTCTAACGCTTTGCAGAGTCGAAGTTTATCAAAAAAATACTCAGCCGTATTTTCTCCTTGGCGCTGATTCCTATTCTGCATTTCCTGCCATCTTTCAGTAATAGTCTTCTCTAGCATGAAGGTCGAAGCGAACGCTTTTCGAAACGTAGTCCAATCCACAATGGTATCTATGTGTGCTAAATACCAATTTTTGACTGCCTTTGTCAAATGCGATCGAGCAGTCTCAAACGCAATTGCATGTGTCCATCGGTGAAGGTTCGCAGTCGATTCGAGTTGTTTTAGCCATACTTTGGCATTTGATGGGCCTGCTAATCCATCGAAGTCGGACATATTGTGAGACAAATCTGGGAGCACGTTGTATAATTGTTGAGGTTGTTGTTGTGCCATGTTTTTGTTTACTGCATTCATCATGGTAGCATTTTGTTGCATAAGATTGGTCATTGCAGTAATCAGCTGTTGCATTTCACTCGCAACTTGTGGTGTAGGCGGAGGAGTCATAAAGCCCGGCGGAGGAGCTGTCAAAAATTTTGGAGATCCAGTTCCTGTGTTTGACGTTTTGTTTTCCGACATCGCCAATAAGGTGGCAGCAGCTTCTTCACTGCTCTTCTCACTAGTATTCATTTTGCACGGTTATCGAACTTCGGTTTTTGTCGGCAATGTTCGCATCGATTCTGCGCATCAAGACGAGAGAAAAAAAAATGGCGACATAAGGCGTCACGACACGTTCGACTCTTTTATCTCCATAAAATCACCCTTGGAAATATTTCACTTAAAAAAAACTCACTAATGAAAGCACGACTACACTCAATATGACCGATGCGATCCCACTTCTGAATTGTTATAAATATTAATAAATAATCTTCCAAACTAAGGAAACTCAGGAACGCGTTCGGATTGATAGAAAATTACGTAAAATATTCTGAAGAGTTAGTTTATTTAATAAGTAATGATTGAAACTGAAAATTAGGTATATAGGCCAGTCGGTGAGTGCAAAAACTGCCCAAAAATGCAAACAGCAAAGTCTCAACGGTTTCTGGTAGTTTGGGGGCTCCTTATAAGAGCCCCACAGTTTGCTCTCGATTTCCGGGTGCGAAAAACAGTGTAAACAATCGCCAAAGTTTGTAAAACATGGTTTTTCGATGCTCGTTGCTTCCGGTTAAGTTTTAGGGGAAAAAGTTGTTATTGAAAGTTATAGAGCTTGGAAATACCTTTCAAATGATGGGTCATATGTTAAAAAAGGTTAATTAGTTTAGTTGCAAATGAATTTAAACCATTAAAAATAGCACTTCTTTAATTGTTTAATAACTTTGTTAATAATTATCGAATTTGTTCATAACTTACCAGGAATGTTCTCCTTGCGTAGCTGAATAAATCCCAAAAAAAATTAACTAGATCGGAGAAATAGTTTATGCATAATTCCATTTGTTAACTAAAAACATGTAATTTTTCAACGGAATTTCCCCACTTTTGGTCCATCGAATTTCGATTTTTTTTTGGAAAGTACACTTAAGAAGTCAAACTTTCATCCTATTTAAATGGCCAATTGATTTTTTTTATCTAAGTGCATAATAATGGACTTCAAAAAAGGGTATGTTTTTTTTACATAAACAAATGGAATAACTCAGTCAATTTTCACTTTATCAATTTAGTGTAAACGGCATTTAATTTTATTTGTTTTCACAAAACTTTTTCAAAAAAAAAATCCAACCTAGTTTCAAGGGGGGGAGAGTTAGTTTTTATTTTTCAAAAAATTCCTGACTAGATAATAATTAATATTTTTAATTGAAAATTGTGCCACTTATAGTTCAATACATGTATTTTACGAAAAAAAATTGAACATAAGGTTTTGTGCATTTATTTTTCATTTACATCAAGTAAAAGTAAATACATCCTTTTTTCAACCTCTAAACGTCGGAGTGGGGGTACTCGGAGGAGCGTGATTCTCGCCGCCACAACTCAATTCAGCCGTTCAAATTTGCAAAAATTGTCATAACTTCGTTAATTATTTACCGATTTTAATCATTCTTTTTTTAATTTGATGTATTTTTTTACGCTGAATCCAAAAATGATTTTATATTTTTTCAAAATACAATATTTTTAAAAATAAAAGAGAAAATTTTTTTAACAAAAAATTTTTAATTATTATTTATAACATTTGACAAAAAATTCTTTTCGTACATATAATTCCATTGCATTCAGAATAATATTATGACATAAAAAAATTCAAATTAATTATTTATAAGCTTGTAGCATTAGGTTGACATATGCACGCCTGTTCAACTATCAATACAACGATGCTACACACTTATATAAAAATAATTTGAATTTTTTTATGTCATAATATTATTTTCAATTCAACGGAATTATATGTATGAAAAGAATTATTTGTCAAATGTTATAAATAATAATTAAAAATTTTTTGTTAAAAAAATTTTCTCTTTTATTTTTAAAAATATTGTATTTTGAAAAAATATAAAATCATTTTTGGATTCAGCGTAAAAAAATACATCAAATTAAAAAAAGAATGATTAAAATCGGTAAATAATTAACAAAGTTATGACAATTTTTGCAAATTTGAACGGCTGAATTGAGTTGTGGCGGCGAGAATCACGCTCCTCCGAGTACCCCCACTCCGACGTTTAGAGGTTGAAAAAAGGATGTATTTACTTTTACTTGATGTAAATGAAAAATAAATGCACAAAACCTTATGTTCAATTTTTTTTCGTAAAATACATGTATTGAACTATAAGTGGCACAATTTTCAATTAAAAGTATTAATTATTATCTAGTAAGGAATTTTTTGAAAAATAAAAACTAACTCTCCCCCCCTTAAAACTAGGTTGGATTTTTTTTTTGAAAAAGTTTTGTGAAAACAAATAAAATTAAATGCCGTTTACACTAAATTGATAAAGTGAAAATTGACTGAGTTATTCCATTTGTTTATGTAAAAAAAACATACCCTTTTTTGAAGTCCATTATTATGCACTTAGATAAAAAAAATCAATTGGCCATTTAAATAGGATGAAAGTTTGACTTCTTAAGTGTACTTTCCAAAAAAAAAATCGAAATTCGATGGACCAAAAGTGGGGAAATTCCGTTGAAAAATTACATGTTTTTAGTTAACAAATGGAATTATGCATAAACTATTTCTCCGATCTAGTTAATTTTTTTTGGGATTTATTCAGCTACGCAAGGAGAACATTCCTGGTAAGTTATGAACAAATTCGATAATTATTAACAAAGTTATTAAACAATTAAAGAAGTGCTATTTTTAATGGTTTAAATTCATTTGCAACTAAACTAATTAACCTTTTTTAACATATGACCCATCATTTGAAAGGTATTTCCAAGCTCTATAACTTTCAATAACAACTTTTTCCCCTAAAACTTTGGCGATTGTTTACACTGTTTTTCGCACCCGGAAATCGAGAGCAAACTGTGGGGCTCTTATAAGGAGCCCCCAAACTACCAGAAACCGTTGAGACTTTGCTGTTTGCATTTTTGGGCAGTTTTTGCACTCACCGACTGGCCTAATAAAGAATTACACAAAGTGATACACCACACAGGCCCATATTCTCACGTTGCCGCTTCTTATATATATTTCGAATATTTCGCCACAAAGGCCGTACGTCCGCTCGTGACAATTTCTAATGAGAACTGAACTGCTACCAAGACCGGAACTTCCGTACACACATGCACACATTAGAGGGCAGCACTATATTTCCGTTAAAAATTTTCTAATTTTGTTTAGAACTAAAGAACAAAAAGCTGCATAATTTTAATTTGACAACATCCCAGTGAGAAATTTCTCACCGGTCCAATATCGGTCCAATATTGGGAGCCAAGAGACCGATCATCGGTCCAATAAAGGCTCCCAATATTGGACCAATATGGGCTGATGCTTGGGATGTAACGGCATCGCCAATCATCGGTTGTCAATATTGGTCCAATATTGGCCAAATATTGGCAACCAAGAGAAAAAAATTTTTTTAAATAAATTTTTTTTAATTAAATAATAATAATAAAAAATTAATGTTTATAATTTTTGTTTAATATATTTATTTGTTTAATTATTTATTTTTAATAATTCATGTAAATAATAAATAATTTATTATTTATTAATTATAATTATTTAAAAATGCAGCAACTATTAGGAAATAATCGAAATAGCATTCTGCAAAAAAATTCTATCATTGAAAAATCAATGATAGGCGAGAGAAATCCGCGTCTTTAAATAGATTCGCAGATGATAGACAAGAGATATCCGCGTCATTAAACGGATTCGCAGATATACTCTGGTCTCGCGACGAATCTCTCGATACTTATATACACTGGAGTCGCCGTGTCAGTTGCGAGAACGGTTACAGCGTCCCTCTTTCGGCAGAGATAAGAATTGTCACGTAAACTGCTAAATCGCTTTACCGACCGCCTTATTATACCCGCAATTTACGTGACAATTCTTATCTCCGCCGAAAGAGGGACGCTGTAACCGTTCTCGCAACTGACACGGCGACTCCAGTGTATATAAGTATCGAGAGATTCGTCGCGAGACCAGAGTATATCTGCGAATCTATTTAAAGACGCGGATTTCTCTCGCCTATCATTGATTTTTCAATGATAGAATTTTTTTGCAGAATGCTATTTTCTAATAGCTGCTGCATTTTTAAATAATTATAATTTATAAATAATAAATTATTTATTATTTACATGAATTATTAAAAATAAATAATTAAACAAATAAATATATTAAACAAAAATTATAAACATTAATTTTTTATTATTATTATTTAATTAAAAAAAATTTATTTAAAAAAATTTTTTTCTCTTGGTTGACAATTTTCGTCCAATATTGGACCAATATTGACAACCGATGATTGGCGATGCCGTTACATCCCAAGCATCAGCCCATATTGGTCCAATATTGGGAGTCAATCGGCGCCCAGCACGGCAACCAATATTGGACCGATATTGGACCGATTAAAGTCTATTGGCAATTTCTCACTGGGATATAATATTTAACAAAATTTTAGTCTTTTAATGAAAAGAAGTGAAAAAAATTCCGATGATTTCTAATTGTCATTACAACTTTTAATTAATTATGAAATAAAAATAATTATAACATAATAATATAATATACAATCTATCTAAAGTTAACAAAAAACAACTTCAGACTCTCTAAATTTGAATCAGCGAAAAGTCGCTGATTCACCAGCCCAGAGTATGCAGCTGATGAAATAGCGTATATACACTGATGAAACAGCGTATATGCACTGATTTTCCAGCGTATATACGCTGTTTCATCAGCTGCATACTCTGGGCTGGTGAATCAGCGACTTTTCGCTGATTCAAATTTAGAGAGGAGTGTGAGGGACAGAAAAAGTGAATGAATAAAAGAACATTTAAATTATTATAGTTAATACTTAATTTCTTCCATTCAGTGGAACCAAATTACTTTTTATATTAGCGATAAGAAAAATTGTTTTGTATTGCCAACATTCCTCTGAGTAAAAAACCGTTTCAAAAAAAATGTACGTCAATTACAAAAAAAAAATATTAAATAAGTTATTATTTAATAACAAAGTACAAAGCGTTACATGGCTTGCAAGCATGGCTTCCATTGA